CATGAACGTGAAGATAAGTTAGGACTAGTCTGAAGGAGGGACAGTCTTTCTCAAACACTTCATACTACCCAGATTCTCATTCCAGGCAAAAGTTGGAGAATACAGTCTTCCTGCCCCATTATCTTCTTAGGACTAATTTTAGCTGAATCATGCGAGCTGGTTAGGCACAATGGAAATATTTACTGTTAAAGCTATCAAAGTTGAGAGGTGAGGGACAGAAAAATAGAAATGGAAGGAGGGGAGCAAATCCCATCTGCTTCCTACCTAATGCCTGCCTACAGGTCCTTCTGTCTGCCTTCGACCTTTCACTCACCTTGATCAACAGAACGGATTGTCTGGATAACAAAGAGAGAGGTACTTTTTCAGTGTAATAATAATTCCTAACTTTTAGAGAACAATTCTTCCACAACTGCAAGCGGAGATATGACACTAAGATGTCGCCAACAGATCTTGTTACCAAAAGCAAAACCAATGAAACAACATCTGTCTCTCCTAGAGCATTCAATTCCCAATTCAATTCCATTTACTCCATCTTAGAGTGGCGGACCCGCAGGGCACTTTTCATCTAATAGTGTTTCTATGGAAACGCCATTCTCAACCTGGAAGATTCTACAACCCCTCACTTTGGCTTTATCCACATTGAGAGGGAAGTCTTATAAATCAGAAACTGAGACATAAATTTTGCCACAGACCAAAAAAAAAAAAAAAAAAAAAAATTCCAGGCTAGAAGTTCACAATAAGAAACAAAACAAAACCAAAGAATAAATATATGTATCTGACATAGAAACAGTGTCTCTGTTAAGTACCCCATGAGATCCCAAAGACCACTGACAGGAATCCAAGAGAATGTGAATGAAAATCAATTAAATCAATTCACCTTGAGGGTCACCTCCCCAACTGGCCAATGTCAGATGTGCCACACTTTGCATGATTTCTTCACCTGAACCCACAGGTGTGTATTTTACCAGCCTGCATTATTCCTAACTCTCAAGACTCTTGGGACACATAGCTGCTCCATGCAGGAAAATACGACACTGCATATTTTAAATAAGAACCATATTAACCACGTTTCTATTTAGATTATATTTGAATCTGCAATATGCAATAGGCTAAATGTGCAATAGGGTAGAAAAACCAAACCAAACAAAAAAAACCCTTTATTTTTACCCTAAACATTGTATTTATTCCTTCTTCTCATTTTCACTAGGCCCTTAGGCACAATCTTTGTTACACTATGTAGCAAAAGAACTGGCAATATGCAAAACACATTCACTTTAAACATTATGACATAGTAGGTTATAGTTATAATCGGAATAACGCCTTTAAGAAGGAAAAAGAAAACTTCGCAGAGCATATACCCCCAAACTGACTGACTATACAGTGACTCATACTGAAATATTAAGGATTTTTTAATTGTTTGCTGTAATTTGTCTTCAGGCAAATGCAAGCATTTCTGTTAAGAAATGCTTTTGTTTTCTTTCTAATTCTCTCTTATTATCTAAATAATGTCAGTCACTCTTTTCAATTCCGGGGAATAGTTCTTTTAAGAGACATTCCCTAGTTATCAACCCTGGCAAATGTTCAACTAAGACTGAGGTGGAAATTTACATCCCTGAAATTTCCTTTTATCCCATAATCACCAAAGTTTAAAATCTGTTTCCTTTTTCTTTTATTATTTTCATCATATACAAGTATTTCCAATTTAGCTCACTAGAAACTGTGAGTCCAAGAATGAAGCTTTAGCTCTCTCCTTGGAGTAGTAAAATGTGCTACTGCTTAAACCTACCTGTGGACAGCTACACAACAGCACATTTTTCTTATGCAGCTGGGGTTTTTGTTGTGTTGTGTTTTGTTTTGTTTTTCCTGGGCCTATTCTACTCCTCCAACACACAAATGCTGGAAAGCCCTTTCAATGGCGGGTTTTTGTTATTGTTGCTGTTTTAACTGAATAAATCTAATGTAAAGATTGACCCATTTATTTGGAAAAGAAAAAAAAAAGAGTAGGAATTTGCTTTCAAAAAGGCAGGCGAGGTTTTATAATACAGTGTTTGGCATTTAAAAAATCAGTTTTTACAATTTGCTAATAAATTGTTATTGCCATTGTTTTAATTAGCCAGAGTTTCAGTTGCTCTTTTGCATCTTGCAAGATTTCAGACAGGATTTTCTAGAGAAGTTACATTAATCATATGGCAAGAATGTGATCATTTGAAATTTGTAGCATCTTCCGAATGAATTGTGCCTCTGGAAGAACTCTCAGAACTTGAAATAAAGCTGCTAAAATATTAGTACAGAAATAACACGATTTACTTACATTTGAACAAATAACAAAACTCTTCTTAAACTCCAGAGGTCCTTCCCCATAGAATTTATTATGACCAGCTTCTGACTATAAACAAATACCTAAGGAATTGGTGCATTCCTTCAAGAAGTGTAACAAGACAAGGAGAAGGGTGTTCCTGGTAACTGCAGCTCTATCTGGTCTTGCAATTGGAGAAGAAGGAAGGGAATCACTTTCGTTGGGGGAAGGAAAGAGGGAGAAAATTTAAATATATCTCCTTTGCTTTTTGGATGATGTTATGAGACATCTGCTTTTTTGAGATGGTCACCATGATCGATATATTTGTATGCGCACATGGCACTGGAGTGGGGAAGCAGTTGGGCACGCCCAGATGCGAACCGCAAGGCAATTTCCATGAGCCTTCATAGAGATGTGGACAAAAGGGTTTCCCCTACCGGGGCAGTAGTGGTACAGGCCAGCACAGACCCCCAAACTGAAAGAAATTAGCCCAACCTCAAGAAATCAGGCAGTTTATGAATAATTTCTAATCCAATTGCCCAAATAACATATGGACCACAAAATGTACCGCAATGCAGGAAAGATCTTGCTGGCTGCTAAGGAAGTTCTCTGTTTTGTTTTAAGAAGATAATATAGCTCTCTGCAAGGTTCTTCCCAAGGGTATGACCTAGAAAACCAGGAATCTGGTGGATGAATAAAAGAACTTGCTTCTCTCTCTCCTGATCCTGTCTGAACCAATATTTGATTGTATTTTATTCAGGGGCACCTCAGCTTCAAGGAAAACCACAGCTCCTCTGTGGACTGATATGGAGGCTGATGAAATCCATTCTCTCTTTTTTTTGTTTTTCCTCTATGTTAGTACAGGAAATAGACTCAGGTTGTAACTTCCAGGGCCACCTGATTTTGTCCCCTCCCGCCCTCATCCTCCAGATCAGGTTGGCTGGTCAGCCCCAGTGACGAAATATCAGCATGGCTGCCTCAGCACCTCTGACCGACTATAACTTCTTAGCTCCTGCTACTTATTCTTCCTGCTGTGCCCTCCATGCCCTCTGTGCCCTCTGGACCCTATCCTTTCCCTCCCCCTTTTTAGTCGTGGTTGGTAATCCCCAGCAGCAACCTTGCACCTTGCATGAGGCAGATCTCAAACTATCCACATCCTTGTAACAAGTGTTGGGTAAGCAATGGCACCTGAACTGGTTTTAGGTAAACCTAATATGATGTTAAAATCAGCTACGCCATCTAAAGCTTCAGCTCACCACCAGCATTAACCAACCTCCAAAACTGATTCCAAAACTGTCATTGGAGGCTGGTCGCTGTTTGGAATCATGATGGTGGAAGAGAGGAAGGAAACTTTTTTTTTTTTTTTTTTTTTTTAGTTACTCCTGCTGTTCTCAGTTTTTGTTTTATTCACAGATGCTGGAAAATCGGGATGAATTTAGACCCTCGAGTGTTATTGGAGGTGTAGCCTCTCTCCAGAGGAGCAGAACCAGTGTGGCCTTTGACAGCCCCTGTGTGTCTCCTTGTAACAGTACAAGTCACTGGTGGACACAGCTCTGAAAGTGGGCAAAGGCTTGAGGGTCAACAGACTTGGGTACATTGGCGACAACGCAGAATTGACCTTGATACTAAAAAATAAATGACTTTCAGAAGAAGCAAACTAGGCTAAAAACAGTAACATAAAGAGTTTGCTTCTGACATTTTTCATAAAGCCAAGATTTTTAGCATTCATTCATTTTAGGCTAGGTTAGGCGAGGCGAGGCGAGGCGAGGCTAAGACCTATTTAAATTCAACCTTTGCCCTTAAGAGTGGAAGTTCCCCTTGCCAACAATTTTGCTGATTTTTAAAATGTTATTTTATCCATAAATTTTCATTTGGTCTTCTTTCTGAGATGTCATTAAGTCAGTATGCACTTACAAAAATATCCACCAAAATATTATGATTATAAATATTTTGAACATGAAATTCATTCAGAACAATAACCAAACAAAACAAATCCCTTGGTGGCATAAAGCCCCCAATCTCCAGTTTCTCACATCTCCAGGAGAATTCCTGCAGTGAAAACAGCAATACTCACACAGACAATATAAACTGTTACTCTGCTTGAAAAGTCACAGGGGACTACACAGGAAGAGCCGACGCTATATTGCTGTTTTCCTTTACAGTTCTAAGTACAGGGACAACTTTCACTGGGCGGCCCTGACTCAGATGAATGTTTTGTAATGGCAACCAGGCCACTGAAACCACTTAAAAGCAAATTATGTGAACATCTTGCCATTGCAACAAGATTTAAACTTTTTGGACCATTCTCTAGAAAGGTCCACAAAGCGTTCAAAGAAATTAAGTCCTTCTCTCTGGGGTTTGGCTTACTTTTTTCTTAGTAGGAGTTGGTTCTAAGTACCTCAGAGTCACACTGAGAAAAGCAACATCATTAACACACATACTTAAAATCACAAATCACAGGAACTCCTAAACCTTATGACTTACAGTTAACAAAATTACAATAGTGAACTTCAAATAAAACTCCTCATTTGGGGTAAGTAGCTAGGAAATTAAGTGCTAACACTTTGGTAAAAACTAGGGGAACACAGAGATTTATGAAATATTCCAAGTGCAGAGGGGATCATTTCTTCCCCCATTTTCTTTTCTATCACAACTGGTTCACCGTCCATATTTAGTTTACATATGTCATTTAGAATCCACTTACTGTTAGATGCTGGAACAGCCACGCCCTCATGATATTTGTGGCTACTTTGGGAAAGATGCCACGCTTTTTGTGACGCTTTTTGTCCTTATCTGGATCATCATCGTCACCTGTGCTGGGGGAAGCTACACTGTTGTCCAAGCCATCACCTGCAAACATAGTGAATCAAATTTTGACTGATGCTACCTTGACATGCTTTATTCAAATAGAATGCCTTTGGATATAAACAAAACCAAAAGAGCAATATAAATGATTAATAGTTTATTTGGTACTTTTTATTTTTTTTCCAAGACAAAGAGAAAGAACAAGGCCTAGGCTCAAAAGTAGTAAGGTCTAAGGAACTTCTTCCAAAGAACAGTGGGAAAGGTCAAAGGGAATGAAGGGAAATAGCCAATCTCTTTAGTAGGTTTTTTGGTTGCCATGGTGATGATTCAGATGTGTATAGCTGAGATGTGGTCAGTTAAATATGGTGGTGACCATGGGCAGAGATGCTGTCCCTGCCTGGGTATCCAAACCCCACCTCTAGTCATTGATGTTAACTTGTGAGAGGATGCATTTAGGATATCAACTATTTCCACAAGTGATCTATCTGAAGACTAAAGTAGGCCATGGAAATGTAAGTAATCCATCATCTGAGCGGCTTGACATAGGAATGCTTCAAATAGAATATAATTTTTCTTGTCATAAAAAGAGAGCATCAAGTTTAGTAAGGGCAAAACTCCTGAAATAGTTTTTTAATTAGGAAACAATTACTATGTAAGTCAAATAAAGTGATGTTGAACTCATAGTCAATTGGAACTGTATTACCCTAAAAGTCCAGGTGGTTTCTAAAATTTCTTCTAGATTAAATCTTTCTCATTTGAAAAGTCACCTGTTTACAAATTCTGAATACTGGATCCTATTCTTCCATTGATTTGTGTTATAACATGTATGTTGTTTCTTCTAGAAAATATTCTGGCTCTGTGACACCATAAAACAAAAAATGTAATATTCCTTTTACAGTGCCGTGTTGAATAAGACCAAAAAAATGAAATCTCTGCCCATATAACCACACTGTCCGAAACAAGTCATAGGGTTCGAATGGAAACTAAGTATACTTTGTGTTCTGGCACGAAACTTCATGGGAAAAACAAGCCTGGACTAAACCCACTACAGTAGAAAGCAGCTGAGCTTCTGTCAAACGTGCCTCCCTACCTGCTGTCCCAGCTCTCCAAGGAAGGCACCGACTTTGAGAAAGGGACAGGTGGGTCCAGCCCAGGAAGAAGAGCTACAGAAGCAAGGCTTTGCAGTGAAGCAACACATTCACCTATGAGCACACTCCCTGGGTTCTGTACATCACTGGAGAGCCATCCACGTGCCCAGGAACTCGGGTAAGACAAGTTTCCTAGCCACTGTATATTGGAACTAGCCTCATCACGTCATGAACTTATGAACTTATGAACTTATTCCGTATTCCCTATTTCTATTACCTAAATACACTAGGTACAAATACACTACCTTGATTTCAGTTATTGCAATCTAATCTACAGTCATTATGTTGCCATTAATCAATTGTTCTTAACAGCTCCCTCAGGAATCCCCTGCCCATCCCCCCCACCAAAAGGAAATTGTCCCCAGATCACCTTAACTTGTACCAAGGTAAACTTTAAAAACTGTTGGGTGAGGAACAGACTAAATTCCAACATTTCTGCTATGACTACAGCATATGCCATGAACACAAAACTTCTGCAGAACTTTTCTGAGTGTGATTTTTTTTTGAATTTTAAATTTAAAAATTTTAAATACAATACATTTTAAATACAATACATTTTATTGTATTTAAAAATTTTGTATTTAAAAATCCATCTATTTTGTTAAAGTTCCACATGATCGTAGCTGTGCTCTCGGTGGAAAAGGTCATAAAGACCCACAATCCCAAGGCCCTCACTGTAGCAGCAGCGGAGAAAGTTCTTGGGTGACTTGCCCAAGGTCACCCAGCAGGGATGGGGCTGGCAGGCCCCTGCAGGACCAGACACCCGCATCCCTAAATCAGTGCTCCTTCCACCCCACCAAACTCTCATTATTTGCATAACCAAGTGTTTTATAAGGAGTCCCCTTGGATTTGCCTAATAAATTCCTTGAAAGTCCAGTATTTAAAGAGGCTTTTTATTCAGAGAAGCAATTCACCATATAAAATAACAATTCATTAAAGAAACATGAGAAAAGAAACCAACTCAACAGCATTTAAAATTTCAATGGGCTAATCCACTTTCAATATGCAAAAGGTAACCGAGGAAAAGAAACATATTACTTGATCATTGATTAAAAATGAAAAGCTTCTAACCTAATGACAGTTTTTCACCACCTCTCCATGATTGTTTTCCACCTTAAAAAAAAATAGCCTTTCCATCCGTCTCAAAACCCCTTCAGATTAATTTAGCAGGCAATGCCTAGTGCCTGCCTCGAAGAGAATTCATTGATAATTTATGGAAATATCTACTATAATCCAGCGGAGATGACTTTTTTCCAGCTTTGTGCATCAATAGATAATCAAGGCCTTAAAGCAGCCTTAGCTTCCCATTACCTCAGGCAAAAGAATTCCTGAAAGCGTGCCTTGAGGGCACCTGAATTATATACTCCATTAGGAGAGGAAGGCTTTCTGCATTCCATGTGTAACACTCACCAGAACCTTTCCTGTTTATTTCTGCTGTATGAAAGCAGCAGCATTAGGAACAGAATTTTTTAAGTGAAGACTTATGTAGACACAATGGAGAAACCTTTCAAGCAGGAGCCAGATCACCCCCTTCAGTCCCTTGGCAGTGACCCTCTCCCGAATAAAAGGTTTCTATTACATCATTAGCTCAAGCCAAAAACAGCCTTGGCTTAATGCACAGTTTGTTCTTCCTACTGTTTTTAGGCAAATACAGCTACTTTACTCCCATCTGGGAGGGAAATTACACTGCTGGGTTGTAATCTAAGACAAGATTTTCATTGGAAGCAAATGCTTTCAATCCAGTGTAAATACTGGTGCATGTTCAGAAAAGCCTAAAACAATAAACCCTGCTCCTTCCCGACACAAGTTAGGGAAATGGAGAAGATGGGGAAGGAGAAGAGCAATACTAAAACACACGATTCTAAAAGCAAACACTTCCATAGATTTTAATAAATTGTTTAACCTCTTCCACTTTCTGGAATTGAAAATGGATCTCGAAACATCTCCACCTCGGAGGAAAGTCTAAATGGTCAATTGTACCTTCAGCATTTCCCTTCACTCTGCAATTTGATACAGTCACCTCGATGTGGTCTCTGGAGGATTTATTTCCTTTTTTTATTTTTAAGATCACTAAACAAACTTGGAGAACCGCCGGCCGACCACATGGCAGCAGGCAGCGGCTCTGAACCACATTTGTAAAATGTCAGCAGTGACTTCATTCCTGGAGCTGACTTCTCCTACCGCCAAATGAAGGCAAACTGAAAAGGTGGAAATAATCATAAAAATGATGCTAGTCCATAAACAAGCTTACAGCCTCATTAGGATAGCAGTAGGCTCCAGTGGGTGATTTATGCTCGTTTTGCTGATGCTATGAGGAAATGCCATAGGGCGACTTTAGCCAATTGCTAATGGTTTCTGACAGCTTCTTAGCAACTAGTGCAAGCAACGTTCTGGCGTTTGCTAGTGACAGAAACCGAAAATGTCATATTATCTGCCCATGTGTCATGAAGTCCGTGTGGCAATTAACTAGCAGGCCAGTGACTGAGGGGCCAGAGGCTCCCGAAAATGGCCTTTGGCTATGCAGAGGCAGCCGATGGGCGCAAGGCACATGCTGCCTACACGTATGCAACATTCTAACGCAGAAATCCGCTTCCTTGTGACTCCCCCGCTCCGATGAGACCGGGCCACTCAGATCCCTTCTTTCCTTTCACTCAAGTGAAACTCTGGGCTCTCCTCCCTCTCTCTCTCTCTCTGTCTCTCTCTCTCTCTCTCCCCCGGCAGTGGCTCTGGCCTTCTGAGAAGTCTCCGAAGCAGTCTGCTTTGATATGATTATCCAAATGACTCCTTAACGGGCAGTACCTGGTTCTGCGCATTTGGGACGCTGGAGTCCAAGGTGCTAGCCGTTTTGCTGCTCTCTCACGAATTAGTCTAAAAGGATTGAAGCTCACTGAAGCGGACTCATTGCCTGTCAGATTGCCGGGAGCCAAGGGACTCAGCAGCAACAAGACACTCCGTGAAAAACACCAGGCTTCTAACGAGCAGGGGGGAAGAATCCTGGCCACACTTTCCAGTTTCCGAGCTATCAAAACCATGCACTATATGTCAAACTGTCAAACCTTTCAGCGTGGGCCATTTGCCCTTTCAAATAATATTTAAGAATTGTTTTTACAAAATTTTATAGGCCATGGTCTAGTGAAAGAGGCCAACCAACAAAGAAAGGAATTTGTACTACAATTCGTCTACGGACAATTTCTTGCGAGACCTGGTCTGTCCCTGCGGAGCAAGGCAGGTGACCTGTGGCAGCTCCCAGGCTGTCAGAGAGCTCAGATTTCAAACACGCTCAACTCAAACATCCCGAGTCGCCTATTTAAGCATGCCCGGGCATTTAGACTGTGCTATCTCGTGCCTTTCAAGGCAGGATAAAGCGGCATTTACCGTATTCAGGCCATTCAATGGGTCAGACTGACCGTGTCAGCAGGGGCTCCTCTCTGGCAGGTCAAAGCCCTGCTCCCGTTTTTTCTCTTTTTCCTAATGCCCTCTCCCCCCCTCCAACCCAACCCCAGAACTGCCCATCCCCAAAACCTATTCTGAGCCAGGCAAAAACAAAACCCCCCCGAAAGTGCCCAAGATTTACATCACAACAGAGAGGAACTTCCAGGGTCGGTGGGTCAGCAGGTATAAATAAAAATGGGTTGTCTGTCAGAGCGTTCTTTCTGTCGGGGAGGCTAAACTCCTAATTAGGGATCTGAACTTTCAACTGCCGGGGCAGATGAAGGTGTAAGGTTGTGGACCTTCTTGTTTTGCTAGAGCTTCACGACAATTCACTTATAATTTTGCCAGGGAGACGCCATAGTTCCTGGCCAGGTCTTCCCCTTCACTTTCGCTCTACACCTCTTCAAGTGTTTGGAAACAGAATGTTGGTCCCAGAAATGGAAGTAGACTCAAAACCAAGGCCAT